TGCAGGCCCAAATCACGTTGAACGCCCTTTGTTTGGGTACCCCTCAAAAAATGGTCGATGAGGGCCCGTTCATTCCACCCCGCCCTCCGCCGCTAGGGCCGGAACTCCCCAGCCCCAAAAAGCCTGTGCCTCCCCCTCCCCCCGCTCAGGTGGACTGACGCTCCCCGCCGCTTTGCCCCCAGTGGTGGTCCCAAAAGGCCTTTAAACGAAAGGGGGGAACTCGGCGTAGGAGATGGGGGTGGCGGCCATTTCCCCCCCTCGGGTTTGGCCCCTTCCAACGCCTTTCCCGTTTAGCCAAAGGGATGAGGGCGGAAAAGGTTCGTGTCCCGAGGCAAACCCGGGGGACAGGGCCAGGAGAGCTCCACCTTTTAGGAGGGGAACCCCGACACCCGGCCGGGTGTTTCCTCAAAAACGACCTCGGGAAACGAGAGCCCCAAACCCCCCTGGGTTCCCGGGCCCCGGGAAATGGGGGGGAAGGCCGATGGGGTTGGCAGGGTAGGTTTGGGGGTGTGGTACCCCTTGGGCCCCCCCAGGTGCAGGGTTTTTTTGAGGGCATTTGTGGCGGTCCCCGGTTTTGTATTTGGTCATCCTGGCCGCGGAAATTTCTCCTCGGCACCCCAGGGGTGACTGTTTATCCTGCGATTCCCTTCAATTGGTGTGTGTTTGTTCCAAAGGGGGGTGAAGGTGGGTGTGGGGGCAGGAACAACGAAAGGGTGGGAGAAGCCAGTCCCAAAAAACTTTAGTGAATATTCGGGGTAAATGACACAATAAGCCCCGGGGGCCCAAAAAAACGGCGCACAAAGGCGTCAAATAAACGGGGTCATAAAATGTGCGGAAAAAATTTTCCCAAAAAACGGGGGGGAAATACGGAGCTCAAAAAACCAAAAAAGAAAAGCAATCCAAACCCAAAACAGGCACACAACGGACTAAAATAGGACACTAACGAGGACTAACTAGACACAGGTGTACAACATCAAGACAAAACCAAACGAACATGAAACATAGATCGGTGGCAGCTAGTACTCCGGGGACGACGACCGCCGAAGCCTGCCCGAACCAGGAGGAGGAGCAGCCTCGGCCGAAACCGTGACAGTATGGCTTTTGGAGGCTCGAAAGAGAGGGGAAAGGACAGAGAAGGAAAAAAATAGTTATGCAGAGAGAAAATGAAGTAAAAGTTGAGGTTTCAGTGCCTCCCCCAGAGCAGAGGGCAGAAAGGTTATATCCAGTTTTAGCAGAGCAGGCTTGGAAAGAAAGCCCAGATGATAACGTTGTCATGTGTAGGAGAAAATTAGGACTGGTCCCCGCCCCTCCCCCACCATATGACGGCCAAGCCGGAATGTTGGAAGAGGGGGAAGAAGGGGGGGAGAGTAGGGAGGCCAGTAAAGATAAGAAAGAGGGGGAAGTTTTACAGAAAGAACTTACAGAACTCAGGGGAGTAGGGAGGAAATAGAGATAGAAATTCTTGTGACAATATATTAAAAAATATATTTTCCTTTATTATTTTTCCCAACCCTACCACCCATCCCCTAATTGGGAGTAAACTAATGGACACCAAACTTGTAGGGGCTTCTTTCTACAGTGGCTTGCGAAAGTATTCACCACCGCCCCTTGGCATTTTTCAATTTTATTGCCTTACAACCTGGAATTAAAATGGATTTTTTGGGGAGGTTTGTTCATTTTATTTAACACAGACCTGCCTACCACCTGTTGAAGATGCAAAATATTTTATTTTTCTCGTGAACCAAACAAGAAATAAAACTTGAGCGTTCAGAAAACTATTCCCCCCCCCAAAGTCAATACTTGTAGAGACCACCTTTTTGCGGCAATTACATTTCTAGCCCCCCCCCAAAACACCCTGGTAATTTTGCCCATTCTTCAAGGCAAAAGCTAGCTTCAGCTCCTTCAAGTTGGATGGGTTCTGCGCTGGTGTAACACAATCTTTAAGTCATACCCAGATTCTCAATTGGATTGGGTCCTGGGCGTTCAACGATATTTAAATGTTCCCCTTAAACCACTCGAGTTTTTCTTTAGCATTATGCTTAGGGGTCCTTGTTCCTGCTGGAAGGTGAACCTCCATCCCATCTCAAATGGTCTGGAAGACTGAAACGGTTTCCCTCAAGAATTTCCCTGATTTAAGTGCCATCCATCGTCCCTCCAATTCGACCAAGTTTCAACAGTCCCTGCCGATGAAAAAAACACCCCAAGCCATGAGGCTGCCACCCACCATGCTCCTGTGGGTATGGTGTTCTTGGGTGATGAAAGGTGTTTGGTTTGTGCCAGACATAAGCGTTTTTTCCTTGAGTCCAAAAGCTCCAATTTTGTCTCATCTATAATAATAATAATAGTGGCAGTTTAGCAGACGCTTTTATATCCAAAGCGACTTACAGTCCATGCATGCATACATTTTTTTTTTGTGTAATGGGTGGAACCCACTACCTTGGCGTTACAGCGCCGTGCTCTACACCAGCTGAGCTACGAGGACCACTCAGCTGACCAGAGTAACCTTCTTCTTCCAGATGTTTGGGGAGTCTCCCCCATGGCTTTTGGCGACAAACCAAACGTGTTTTTGTTATTTTTTTCTTTAAGCATGGCTTTTTTTCTGGCCACTCTCCGAAAAGCCCAGCTCTGTGGGAGTGTACGGCTTAAAGTGGTCCTATGGCAGATACTCCCAATTCTCCACTGTGGAAGCTTTGGCCAGCTCCTTCAGGGTTATCGTTTGGCTCTTTGATGCCGCTCTGATTCATGCCATGCCCTCTTGGCCTGGTCCGTGAGTTTGGTGGGGCGGCCCTCCTTTTGCGGTGTTGTGGTCCATATTCCTTTCTTTCCCTTTTAAAAATTTTTTAAGGGTGCTCCTGGGATGTTCAAATTTTTTATATTTTTTATCCCCCAACCCCGATCTGTTTTCCCCAAAACTTTGTCCCTGACCGGTTGGAGAGTCCTTGGTTTCATGTTGCCGTTGCTTGGTGGTCCCCCTTGTTAGTGGGGTTGCGACTCGGGGCCCTTTAAAAAAAAAGGGGTGTATTATATGAGATCATGTGACGTCATGTGACACTTAGATTGCACCCAGGGGGACTTTTTTTAAAAAAATTTGTGACTTCTGAAGGTAAGGGTTTCACCAGTTTTTTTGGGCTTCATAGCAAGGGGGTGAATACAAGCGCACCCCTTTCCGTTTTTAAATTTTTTTGAGTTTTTGAAAAAATTTATTTTTTTTCCAATTCCCAATTGGAAATTTGTGTATGTCCATTACATGAAACCCAAAATAAAAAATAATTTAAAAATTAGGTTGAAAGCAAACAAAATAGGAAAAAGGGAGAAGGGGAAAAATCTTTTGAAGGCCTGTATTACTATATAGAGGCGAAAAAACCCACCTATTTGGCGAGGTGCGGCAAGGGGAGTAAAACATTTTAAAAAAAAAAAAGGAAAGCCGCACCTCTGGAGTCAATACAATAATTTAATATTTAATAACCAGTTTCGACAGACAAGCTGTTTTCCCCGGGGTATAAATGAAAAACCGCGGGGGTCCCTGTTTATATTTGGGCAAAGGACCCGCAGGGGGGGTCTGTAATCTGGCCCGGGGGGTGGCCTAAAGCATTGGTTAATTAAGACAAACGAACATACAAAAAAAAAGGGATAGCATACGATCTAGATACAATTTGGGTAGGGCCCAAAACCCTTCAAAGAATAGCAAAATCAAAATAATCACAAGAATGGCTTAAATCAAAGTCTTGTTAGACTGAAGGGGTCAAAGGGTTTTTAAATTAAAGATCCAGGCACCTCTCGTTTTAACAAAAGTTGTCAGGGCCCCCCTCTCCAGGGGGGGTGACATTCGATGCCATATAACGTAGGGACGAAATCAGTGGTTGCTTCCAAAAAAATGGGCAGGAATGGGGATGTCGAGTTTTTGCGCCTAAGGGGCTCCGAAAGGCCCGAGATTCATACTTTTAATTTGCGCTTTTTTTTCCCACTTTTTTTTACCCCAAGGACAATTTCTAAAAAAAATAAAATGCCCTTTTGGGACGTATAACACCTTTGATTGGGATCTTTTTCCCCGTTAGGGGGTTGTTTAAAGCGGGGTGTCAAAAAATCATTTTTCTAGGGGCCACATGGAGGAAAAAAAGGGGGGCCTTTTTTCTTTTTTCCCCCAGTGGG